TTCTTGTATCTCAGTAAGGGCACACATCTGTCAAAACTAACCCAACCACACATTAGCATTTGTACATTTCACTAAGTTTAAATTATACCTAAGGTCATAAAAATTCCATTAAACCACATATCAGTTCACACCAGTTAACACTGGTCGCTTAAACTATTAGGAGCCACTGAGGTTGCACTATAAACAAAAACAGTAACCAGAGCACATCACTTTAAATACACATTTCATTCACTGGAAGGTATGAAAAAGATACTCATGTAATCTACTTAATAACCCATTTTAAAGATTTAATTAATCCCAGCACCCAGGAGTTAGAAAGATCTTTGAAGCCGGGCGGTGGTGGCGCACGCCTTTAATCCCAGCACTCGGGAGGCAGAGTCAGGCGGATCTCTGTGAGTTCGAGGCCAGCCTGGGCTACCAAGTGAGTCCCAGGAAAGGCGCAAAGCTACACAGAGAAACCCTGTCTGAAAAAAACCAAAAAAAAAAAAAAGAGAAAGATCTTTGAATTTAAGACCAGCCTAGCCTACGACTTCCAAGTCAGACAGTTACATGGTGAGAACCCTGTCTCAAAAAGATTCAATTTTTTATATTTGCAACAAATTCTAGAAATCTGTTTATAATTTTTTTTTTCTCTTCAGACAGGTCTTGCTATGTTTCCTGGGCTGGCCTCAGATAATGTTCCAAGTGCTCGGATTACTGGTATGAGCCACCAAGCCTAGCTATATTGTTCTTTGGAACACTGGCACTTAATTAAATTTAGAGTATCTCGTATGTGAAGCATGTGTGTTTTTTGTTAAATTAATGTGTGTGGATGGAGACAAGAGAACTGTGGATAGTGAATGAAGTTAACTAAGTATGGCTTTCTCAGTTATCAAATAGAAGGTGTGGCATGTATGAGCAGGCATGATATGACCTTGACATCAAGGTGATAATGGCTTTCACAAGAACTAGAGCCAGAAGACTAGTTAAATCTTCTGGGACTCAAGGTTTTACTCATATGAGTCAATGTTCTTCATGCGTCTTGCAGATTTTGTTCAGCTCAAAAACACCATCTATTATCCCATAAATGAACAACAGAAAGCACTTTCCAGTTCACTGTGAATTTAGTCACACTTTGAAAAAAGTCACTTCAACAGTTATTTTCCTCTGTTTAACCTTATTCACAATTATATATGTGTGTGTGTACATATATATATATATATATATATATATACACTTAATAGCAAAAGATTAAGACAGAAATTGTTTAAACTGCCTTTAGCAGTACAAAGGATTAACTAATGTTTTGTAAATATTTTCTAAAATATCTGACATCCAAATGTAGAGGGGCAGGAAGGTGTGGTTAAAAAACAGAGGCAAGAACTCTTTCCCCATATCCCCAACTACCTTCTTATACACAATTTTCCTATAAAAGTATATTCTACCACTATACAACTTTCTAAATAGTTAATCTAAAAGTTGCCAGAAGCAGATGCATGTATAAGTTTTGTGAGGTACTTTCATAAAATAATATTTAAAGGTAAGACTTAGACACAGCACCAAAGGGGGGGGGGGAGCTTTGTAACTATCATCTGGAAATGGTCTTAAAATCCAAATCAGAAAGGTCTGAGATTAACTAAGCAAAAGACTTTAAATAGGGAATCCTGTTCACATGGTAAGTTCTGCACATAAAAAGCAGGTGGCAATGAGTTCTTCCCCAGCAGAATAAATTTCCCAAACATTTCTTGGGGAAAACCAAAGTGTATGTCCATGTGAATGTGTGTCGTATGAGTGTGAGTGCAAATGTCTAAACAGAAGAGGGCATCAGATTCCCTGGAGCTGGAGTTAGAGGCAGTTGTGAAAAACCCCTGGGGGGTGCTGGGAACTGAACTCAGATCCATCTCTCTAGCCCTCCCCAACATTTCTATTCAGCACTCTCCCACCCCCGACAAAACTAAAACCATTAGTTACTAACATTCTTTTTGAATTGTACAGATGGGCAGCTGATGAGCCTCCCAGAAATTAAAAGACTCTAGCTCATCAAGTGCTCAAGCATTCAATTCTGATTGTTCCACTTAAGAGCTCTTGTTTAACCAAAACTGTTTTTCCTTTACAAAGTTAATTCAATTTCTGCCATGTAGAAAAGGAATGTAAAGATGGTTATTCTAGGTGAGCTTCCAGATGTCCTGCAAGCCAAAAGGATTTAGTTTCTTATACCATAAACTGGATGTCATACTTCACTCTTGAGGTTAGACTTATTTCCTTTCTTTTCTTTTTTTGGTTTTTCGAGACAAACCTGTCCTGGATCTCACTCTGTAGATCTGCCTGGCTCTGCCTTCCGAGTGCTGGGATTAAAGGCGTGCGCCACCACCGCCACCCCAGCCTAGATTTCTTTCTATGTGGCTGTAAGTCCTTCAAACTACACAGGAAGAGGGAAGCCAACCACCCATGTAGGCCAAGTAATTTTGAGTCTCTCTACTAGAGCAGAGTATCTTAAAGCCAATCTTATAACCAGACTGTATGTGTGCGTAAAAAATTAAGTATGAAAGGAGGATGTGTATGATAGGTAAAAATGAGGTAAAAAATTTAAATTTTAAATTATTATTGACTAATGGATAAAACAGATGGTTCTAGTTACATAAAGCTAGCCAGCCAACTTGCCTGAACATTTTCCAAGTAAATATTTACTAGATATATACTATGTATAAGTGACATAGAAATACTGAATATACAAAAGAATGGGAAAATACTGCCACCAAACTAAGAGAATATTTTTGTGAATATTTATCTTTTGGTGCAAAAAAACTATCATTTCATACTTCCCTTTAAAACCAACAAACTGGTTAGTCATGGTAGCCAGCACTAGAGGGAAGAGAGAAGAATCTCTGAGTCTGAGTCTCAAGAAAAAGGAAAAACAAAACCAAAAACAACCAACACACTGATCTGTTTTTATGGACCTGTCCCTACCATTGCTTAACAACCTTACACTTTCCCCACCCCTACCTAATTACCACACTCTGCCTTAGGAACCACTCCCAGAAGCCACTCTATTCTTGGATGCCCTCCCCAACCAGTCCACCAAGCTTGCTTCCTGAAATCTCATCTCCTTTCCCAGGAAGCCTTAATTTAAAAGCCAGGTTAATTTATTTAGCCCCACCCACAGAAAGCTTACAAGGGCAGTAACTCTCTCTGCATTCACCATTTTATAATAGGTACCTACTGGTCTGCTCACATGTTAACTCATCCATCTGCTTATTTAGTATACTACTCATTGCCCTTAATGATCTGTATCTGCAAGGTCCTTAAGCTACCAGACTAAAGAACACACTAGCATTGAAAATGCAACGATTAATGTTTTTTTTGAAATTTATAAATTTCCCAACACAGGGCAATCTTAAAAGGATGACAGTATGTGAAACGGGCCAAACAGAAAAGGCCCACCCGATACAGGCTGATTGTACTCGAAGGAAACCAGTAAAAACAAAGCAGCAGAGGCCAAGGACCTTATTTCCTCCATGATAGTGTATTTCAGGGAAAAAAAAAAAAAAACACTCAAAAACTCCAACCTCCTCCAATTTCACTTTAAATTATTCACTTGGCCATATAAATCTGGAATTTTCTTTGAAAGAGCTCATTTACAAATGACCAGCAGAGTATTTATCACCCCCAGCATCTGTATGAAAAATGTTTATCATTTTTTAAATGTAGTAGTTATTATTTAGATTGAAGGTAATTCATTACTCATTTCAGGACTCAGAAAAAAGCAGCTGGGTGTGGTGTACTCCTTTATTCCCAGCATTTGGGAAGAGGCAGGCAGATCTCTATGAGGTCAAGGCCCAGGCTGGTCTACATAACATCATCCAGTCAGGCAGAAAAGGAGACAAGAGAGGAATGGAAAAGGAGAGAACACACTATGCAGCAGTCCATTTCGTTCTCAACTATGATTCTTTTTTTTTTAAACAGTGAGGTTTAAAGCTATAGTTTAGTTTTTACAAAGGTTAATTTCAAAAGTAAAATTAATGTTTCTTTCAATAAAATCAAATATTTGAAACAGCAATTTTTGTCCTGATTATTTCTATTTACCATTCATCCTCCTCTCCGATGAAATTTCCCTTAAATGTTACCGACAAAATAACTCAACAGGTTGAAGCTACTTATCAAACTGCTGGTAAGTGAAGCTTTCTTTATAAAGCTGACGAGCTCATTTCAACAGTTGGTGCTGTTCTAAACTGCCTTTGCCACTGCCCGTAAAGTTTGTAGGAACTGAAACATGTCAAACATTACCATTCACAAAAGCAAAAAGCAATGAACATACTGGGCAGGGATATTAAGGATTCTAGATCAGCAAAACATAACAAGTTATGTCGCATCTGCTGCAGGGATCACATACTGTCATGCCATCTCCTTCCCAGAATCTCATGGCCTTATGGGACTCAATTCTTGGCTTTCCAAGGGTTAATCCACTTAAGGCTGCTAAAGGGAAATCAAGGAAACTTAATATGTGAATCCAAGCGGAGAAAAAGGCAGGAATATGGGGGTTGAGTCACGTCGTTCCGCCATTTTCTAAGCGGAGGAGGAAGACATGTTGGAACAAAAACACAACAAAAGAGCAGCCATTTCCCAAAGCAGCTCGGATAGCAACCCCAACAGACTGAACCCGGTCACATCCGCACCTTCCCAACCACTTCAGTGGACCAACGTACCAACAGAACATCAAAAGTGTCGCCGTAAAGATAGCAAGATCCCTTCCGCGTAGGGATCCAAGATGACCTGCATAGTTAACTGCAAACGAAAGCCCCGGGAAACGGGAGGATTGACAGAAACTAAATGCAGCAGCACAACAAACCGAATTTCAACTAAGTTGGCGAACTAAAATTTATCCAACGATTACGGCTAATTGTGGAACCTGGGGGACTCGGTACCAAAGCCGACTCAGCCGGCCCCATTCCCAGCCTCATCATCCCCTTGCACCACTGATTTCGCAACTCCCTCTGTGACCGACGGTGCTCAGGGGTTCTTACCGTATGTGAGGGATGCCAACCCCACCTTGAAGAATCTTATACAGTTTGCTCTCGTACAGCAACTGGGGATGCCTGGCCTTCTGGGATTCTAGCTTCACTGCCACTTCCTGCAGAGGAAAGGGGATGATGGCATCAACATCCCTATGGATTCAAACTCACTTGGGAAATGAGAAGAGACATTAGCAATGCTTGCTGCTAGTCGCCGCCACCACAAGGACGTGAAAGGATGGGGGGGGAAGCTACCTCTGTAATTACAAAAACAAGCCAACTAGCCTCAAAAGGCTTTTTCGGGGGGGGGGGGGCAATGGCGAACCCTCCGTGTCCTCTAAATCTAAAGCGAATGAAAGGATTCATCCAGAAAACAGGCAACCTTGGGACGTAAGGCGAGATTTTTTTTTATTTATTTAAAGAAACTGTTCTAATTCGAACAAGAAGCCCAAACTAAATTTAAGAAATACAGAGAACACCATGGCGATCACACGCCTTCGCCCTTCTCCTCATCCGAAACAACGGTTAAAAAAAAAAAAGAGACATTCTGAACAAGCCGGGAAACCTCAGAGTTTACCCAGCCTTTCTATCGGGTTTTTCCTTTTTAGGGAAATAGTGGGGGAGGTTTCTAAGCCAGGAGAGCTGGCTCGCTCTAGGCTCCCCAGTGCGTGCGTGCGTGCGTGCAGTGGGAAGAGGCTTGGAGTACTTAGGGGGGTTGGGGTGGGGGAAAAAAAAAAAAGCCCAGCGTTAACGTCCCCCCACCCCCGCCGCCCCGAAGCGGGCGATTACCTCGCCATTGGTGATGTTGATCGCCAGATAAATGTCCCCGAAGGAGCCCGACCCGATCTTCCGCACCAGTTTGTATTTCCCTCCGACGATAAATTCGGCCTTCGAGCCGCTGCTGCTCGCCATCCTGGGACGCGAAGATGGAGGCGGGGGCCGAGCCCCGGCACCTCTGGGAAGCGGATGGAGGCCTCCGGGGCTGTTCCCCCCGGCAGAACGGCGGGGCGCGGCGGCCGGCCACCGGAAAGCGAGGCTTGGTGGGCGTTACGGGGCGCCGGGCCGGCTGCGAGGCACGGGATCGCCGCGGCTCGCTGGAGGGGCCAGGCCGCCGTTCGGTTCGTGAAGGGTGGTCGCGGCTGCCGAAGCTCGGCCAGTGGCTTCGGGGGCGGCCGCCGCTGTCTCGCGTCCGCCGGCGACGTTGCGGGGGGTGGTGGGTGGGCTGGGAAAGGGGCGCGGGGAGTTAGGGCGGCGCGACCGCTGCCACCACTGCCGCCGGCTCCGGCCCGGAGGGACCCCGTCACTCCGCCGCCGCCGCCATCTTGTTGCTCCGGCTCCAGCCAACACAAAATGCCCCCAGTCCCGGGGAGCCGCTTCTTCACGGCGCAGGGCACGCTGGGAAAGGGAGCTCGGGCGCTCTCTCGGTAGGGTGGGCTGCGAGCCGGAGGGCGGAACCGGATCCGCCAGAGGCGCCGCCCACACGCGGCCGAGCGTCACCCCGTCGCCGCCCCGCGGCGCCTGCGCACTGCCGTGCCTGCGGACCGCGCAGGCGTGCTGCGGCCTGGCCTCTTTCCCCCCCGCCCCGCCCGCCCCCCCCCTCCCAAGGCCGGGGCTCACTTCCACTTCCGGCCGTCTGCGGGTCCGCGCTTCTTGCTACCTGCGAAGTCCGTGCAGGCCCCGAGGCTTGTGCCGGGCTGTGCGTTAGGGAGTCACCCCACCCCCTTTTTTTAATATCCCAATGTGGCCAGTGGAAGCGTCTGGTCTCCTTGGGAGTGGAGCGTTGACCTCTATTCCGCGTTTGAGGCGGTTTCTAACCTTTGATCCGTCGGCAAGTCCCTCTCCGGGGCCGCCCTTTTCCCAGCCCAGTTTCTGCTTGGAAAGAGAAAAAGCCGAGCTGGGCGAGCTGGGTTCCAGAAGTGGCTCAGGTTTTAGTAGGGCCTACTCGATTACTAGTAATTAGAGTTCGGGCTCCCTGGAATGTTGCTAACCTTCCCCCCCCCCCCATTTTTTTAAGGGCTCGGAAAGAACCTGGAATTGGTCTCACCCCAATGTCTGTTTGTGGCACTATGAATACACTTGATCTGAAAGGAACAAGTCATATAGATGCTTCATAATTTTACTGATATAATGAAGAGGGAAAAAAAAAAAACACCAAGCTGAGCGGTGGTGGCGCACGCCTTAAATCCAAGCACTTGGGTGGCAAAGGCAGGTGAATCTGAGTTCGAGGCCAGCCTGGTTGGTCTACAGAGCTCGTTCCAGGACAGTCAGAGTTACACAAGAAGAAACCCTGTCTCGAAAAACCAACAAACAAAACAAAAATAACTTGATAACAATAAGAAAGTTGCTCATAGTCATCGTTGTTATACCCATCCCCAAAGAAACAGTCACGTTTGAGTCATGTTGAAAGTACAGTATTGATATAAATGGTATAAATAACTATCATAAAACAAAATTGAGTGTTTAAAACTTAAGAAGGTAATTTTTAAGTAAAAACCGATATTAAAAAAAATCAGGACTTGACCTTATTTTCAGTTACAATATTTGACCAAAGACTGAGTGTGAAATTATGGTTTACAAAGGCTCTGTTGGGTGCTATGAAAGATGAATATAGCGTAGGTTGTAAAAATTTTAAGTCAACCCTAAAATGAACTCATCAAAATGGAAAAAAAAAATGTGTTTTTTTTTTAAATTTTGTGTATGTGTGTGTGCCTGCATGTGTCTATGTGCACCACGTACATGGATGCCAGAGAGAACTGGATCACCTGAACTGGAGTCACACGTGCTTGAAAGCTACCTGATGCGGCGGACAAAAACTGACCTCCAGGTCCTCTGCAAGGGTAGTGAGTGCTCTAACCACTGAGCCATCACCGCTCCAGACCAAGGAAAAATGAAAAAAAAAAAAGTTTTTTAAAAAAATGGAAAAAAAAAGTTTTAAATGCTACCTTGAAAGCTGGTATAGTAGTTCACAGAATCTATCTAGGGTTTAACAAGGAGTTCTTTTTTTTTTTTTTTTTTTTGAGACAGGGTTTCTCTGTGTAGCTTTGTGCCTTTCCTGGGACTCACTTGGTAGCCCAGGCTGGCCGAGAACTCACAGAGATCTGCCTGGTTCTGCCTCCCAAGTGCTGGGATTAAAGGCGTGCACTACCACCACCCGGCGTAACAAGGAGTTCTTAAGTATAAGCCAAACTAGGGTTGGCTGAAACATCCATGAGAGTTTTGAAGAAAGGAATCTTAGTGGAGATGTACAGATGCTCTCAGTTGGTGTGGTAGGGAGACTAAGTCACTGATTTTCAAGGGTATGTGTATGGACAGGTACAAGTCTAGCAAAGTCCATAAACTTACAGAAGAGCAATATAGTGTGTTTCATTTCCTAATCTAATTTCACATTGTACTTTATTGAAATTCTTATCTTCCTATATTTGTGTCCTCAGAATACATTTTTATAAAATGATGCTGGAGAGGTGGCTTGAGCTCTTGCAGCTCCTTTATGGACCCAGGTTCAGTTCCCAGCATCCAGATGGTGGCTCACAACTGTCCATAACTCCAGTTCCAGAGGATCAGATGCCCTCTGGTGTCACCCATAGGGTACACAGATAAATGTGCAGTCAAAACTCCTATGCACATAAAGTAAAAGTAAATTAAAACAATCAGATGGCACTGTTTTGTTCTTTTAAATCTTTATTTGGAGAGGTTTAAAAAAATGTCAACTTGGGCCAGGCAGTGGTGGCACACGCCTTTAATCCCAGCACTGGGGAGGCAGAGGCAGGCGGATCTCTGTGAGTTCAAGGCCAGCCTGGTCTGCAAAGCGAGTTCCAGGAATAGGCACAAAGCTACACAGAGAAACCCTGTCTTGAAAAAACAAACAAACAAACAAAAAAAGTTAACTTATATATCTAACCTTTTCCAAAATGAAATTGCCCATCCCTTCCCCACACACACAAAACTCACTTCTGGACCTCCTAGTCTCAATGACTTTTAGAAATGCTTCTGAGGCGCTATGGTTTTTACACAGACCCATGTAAAATAAAGTCTATATATGCAATTTGGTATGTGTTACTTGTTTCCAGAAAATTACAGTCACTATTCTAGTACTGACTAGGTACTAAATATTGTAAAATAAGTGAGTGGCCATGACCTTTGCAGCTGTGATTTCTATTGTGTCTAACGATTTTAAGAAGGGCCAATTTGGTGGGGTTTGTTTCGTTTTGGTTTGCTTTTCCAAGACAAAGTTTCTCTGTGTAGCCCTGGCTGTCCTGGATCTCACTCTGTAGACCAGCTGGGTCTCAAACTCAGAGTTTCACCTGCCTCGGCCTCCCAAGTGCTGGAATCAAAGGCGTGTACCACCACCGGGAGGCTGGTGGTATTTGGTTTTAGTGTGGAAACTGGTTTTTTTTTTTTTTTTAGGTATTCGCTGTGACTCAGTCTATTTGTTTTTTAACTCATGTATCATTCTGCAGAAACTTTCATCCTAAGTTATTGAAGACGACGTTATTTGGGTGCTGGTATTTAAACTGGCCAGTCATTCCATCTGCATTAAATGGGCAGCAGCTTTGCAATAGAAGGAGTTCATACGTGCCAAATACAGTTGTTGGCACTTATCAGGTGAATTCACTAAAATTATGTTGAAAATGCACACAAATTTTAGACCCAGGGGAAATTTACAGATCAAGATTGATAATTGCTATATTTCAAATACAATTTACAGAATGCTTTCACACATACTGTCTGTGCCCTCCTACGATGAACTGGCTTGCCAAAGGTCACACAGATCTTAGTGGAGAAGACAGGACAAGAACCCCAACTCTTAACCAAGAGAAAGAGAACTTTTGGGAAGAGTAGAACACAAATTTGCATGATCACATCCCAGTAATTATACTTGTATTTACTGACAAGTCTAGATTAAGTGGCTACAATCTTTTAAAGCCAACCTTACTCAAGAAAAGTTCCCTGGTAATCAAAGTGTATTTGGGGTAAAATAAGAACAACCACAAGAAGTTCAGGTGGATTCAAAAAAACCCCAAGCAGCTTGTCCATCTCTAGGATCGCAAACCTACAGATCAGTAGAAAACGCAACACCTTTAGAATGCACCAAGCCCTGCCCCGGGTGTTGACTATTAAACACGCCTGAGTAGAGTCAGTATCAGATGCAGGAGTCAACGGAGTGTTGAAAATTCGAGGAAAACAGAAATGTGCTTTTGGGCTAGCGTCACGGTCCATTCTGCCTGTTTCCCAGTGTTTGGCACTGGCAGCCATCTCACGTGTCTTTCTTTCCCCACTTCCTGTTCTTCCCACTGCACGGCTCACAGGGTGTTGTTGAAGTGGATTGCTGTGCGGTCGTGTCTTCTATGGACGACAGGCAGTTACAGCCGCGAAATCTTAACAATATGGTCACCTACACACGACCAGCTCAACGACAACATCTGTTAACACCCGACGTGGACGTGGGAAATCTCAAGTCCCCGCCTCTAGATGAAGGCAATTAATGGCGACTAAAAGAGGGAGAACCAGTCCTCTCTGAGGTCGAGCTCCCTGACAGGTTATCCAGTCCCAAGTGGTGGTCAGCCCTAAACACGTGTACATATGAGCAACGCTAAATAGGCGCAACAGGTTGTGTGTGAGAATGTGCGCGCGTGCGTGCGTGCGTGCGTGCGTGCGTGCGTGCGTGTGTGTGTGTGTGTGTGTGTGTGTGTGTGTTAGTCATATATATGTATATATATGTAGAAGTCATAAAGTTGAGAGGGAGCAGGAGTGACAGGAATGGAGCTGAAGGGGGAGAAGGGTAGAAATGATGTAAACACGGTACACAATACTCAAAGTTTCAAAATTATACTGAATAGCCCTTTACACTTATAGAGTATTTTGTAGTTCACAAGGCCCTTACTTTCTAGTGGGAAGTAAGCTCTGAGCTTGGCAAGAACTCCTAAAAGTGCTTCTCACCTCTATCCACTAGGCAAATGATATAGAGCTAAGATACTTCTACTTACCTTTTAGCTTATATAAAACTCACATTTTGATGTTTTTAAAGATTGTTTAGAGTTTCAAGTGCATGTGTATGTACACATGTTTAATTTTATTTCTTAAAATTAATAAAATGGTCATAGTTTTGTCTTGAGACCTGTTTTTTTCTCCTAATGATTTGCTGGGTGATAAGGTCCCATATAACCAGGCCTCTATAGTATCTCTTCTAATGTCTATGGAAATATGTATGGTATTGATGGACCATTGAACCAATCTCAGTTGAGCATTCTGCTGTTTCCCTGACTTTTCTAGTATAAACAATGCTATAATGAATATTACTCTAGTTAAATATTTGTTATCATGCAACATCAATTGGCAAGAATATATTTCTAGAAATGCTGCTGGCCTCAAAACCCTTGATAGTATAATCAAACAGGTTCAGCAAGACTGAGTCCATATTGATACAATCTGCAGTGATTTTGTTCACTCAAGGGCTATTCTAGCGTCTCACTTACATTTATAATTGCATACTTACATCCAAATCTTTTCATTTCATCTCCAAAAGGGGATGTTAGGTCTTCTTTTCTGAATAACATATTGGTAGAAAAACCTACTGAGTTTTAATTTTGAAACCCCTTTATTTCTTCACCCAGTTTTCAAGTGAGCTAGTGAAAATGTCCCCCTTTGACACAAATGACAGGACAGAGAAGACATTTGTTGTCCATTTGAGAAGCAGCCATTTGAGTTCTACCGTGGCTTTGAGTCATTTGAACAGCACAGGAAAATGAGTTTGCTGGGAAGGAATGGAGACCAACGAACCTCAGCAAAGCAGGAGGGGGTGGCCGGTGTGATGCGGTACGCTTTTTATCCCAGTCGGAGAGAGTTTGAGGCCAGCCTGGTCTACAGAGTGAGCTCCAGTTCTAGGACAGCCGAGGATATACAGAGAAACCAACACTGACTCCAAAAACCAAAACCAACCAGACAAAAAGAACCTCAGTAAAGACTTATAATGATGACATTTACTTGTGATGGACACATTCAGGAGCTGAGGCAAGGATGCTGCAAGCTTAAGATGTGGGAGACGTACGTAGCAAGGCCCTATCTAAGTATATGTATATTCAATTAAAAAAAAGAATACACTCGTGTAATCTCATATTTTGCATGAGCTTATCTTCCTACATATATGCGTGTGTATAGATGTGTGTGTGTATATGTATATATATGTAGATATATAGCTTAGTAGCATGAGAAGCAGGGTTCAAATTGATAGTTCAAACTTCTGTAAAAGTCAGGCAGGTATGACAGACCATCTAGTGCTTTGGAGGCAGGGCAACAGACAATCTCTGAGGCAAGGTGGCAAGTTAGACCAGTCAAATTGGCTCGCTTTGGTTGCAAGTGACCCTGCCTCAGTAAATAAAGTAGAAGGCCATTAATTAAGACACCTGGTACCAACTTTTAGCTCCACATGCACCCTATCAAAGTGTGCCCCCACACATATGAGCATGAAGTGCACATGTGTGCACACAGGCAGAGTGCCAGAAAACTAAACATGGAAAGCCTTGGAGATGGGGGAGAATTCCATTTGTTGCTGTTCTGAAATGAGGTTAATTCACACCTTAGGGCAGAAAGCGTCAGTACTTGAGTTAGACATTTCAGTAAACACTGTTAAATGAGAATGTATGTTCTTGGGCCTGTACAATGAGGAGGCCAACCGTTTCCTTTCAGAGTGTGTGGAGGACAGGGAAGATTTTCTAACTCAATAGAAGCCTGTGGGGCTAATACCAGTGGCAATGGCTTTTTTTTTTTTTTTTTTTTTTTGTCAAAAGAGTTTTGGGGAGTTGGAGAGATGGCTCAGCAATTAAGAGTGCCCCCTGGAAGACCCAAACTGGGTGCACAGCACCCACATCAGATAGCTCATAAGTGCCTGTAACTATCTCCAGCTGTAGGGGATCTGATAGCGTCTTCTGGCTTCCTCAGGTACGTGCACACGTATAACATACACATAAAGACAAACACACACACACATAAATTAAAAAAAAATTTTCAAGTAAAAAAAAAAAACCCAAAATCCACAGATTTGTTTTTCGTGAGAAAAGAAAAACCAAAAAATACATTGGTTGTGTATTTCACTCATAGGTTAAATATAAGGAAATGTGTTTGCCCTAAGAAGTCCTCGTGAGCTAGGTCCTGGATTCAATGACCAACCCAACAAAAGCAGAAACAAGAGCCAGATGGAAGAGTACATTTAAGCTGTGGCTTTACCTAACCTTGCGTATTATCCTAATCGTTCCCGCTGTAATCTCCAAAAAGAGAAGTTGCAGCTTAAAGTTCTAGCTGGCTTTAAATGTATTGTTATTTGCAGACTTTCCGGGTGATCATACAGAAGAAAGAGCCTGGCACACACCTTTCCTCTTACAGCTTCTTCTTTTATCACTGCCTATTCATTGTGTACGCTCAGTCTCTCCTTCTATTGGGTGGGTACTAGGGATCGAACTCGGGGAGTCAGGCTTGACATCGAGTGCCTTTGCCCACTGAATCACCTCTCTGTCCCCTTCAACAGCTTCTTAAAGTCGAGGTAAAACATAATTCAGGTGTCCAGATCCTCATTCATGATCTTCAGCCCTGAACTGTCAGAAAACCAGGTCCTCCGACACAGGAGGTGAGAATTAGAGGGCATGGGAAGTCTGCTCCTTTCTGGACATTTTAGAAAGACTGCAATTCTAACTTCATTTTCAGTATAATTTTCCCTGGAGGTAGGAGAGAGACACAGGTTAAACAACCTCTAAAAGTCCTTTTTTTCCCCCTTTCTGCCTAAAAATATTGCTTAATATAGATGGAAAGGAGAAAATGACTTATACTGCTTAACACAATAAAGTGATGAAATTCAACAATGGAGATCCAGCCAAGTCTCTCCCTTCCTTCTTAGGATTATTCTGAAACAATGCCGGAGGTTTTGACTTGTTTGTCTAAAATGAATGTTCCACAGTATAATACACAAAAGCTGGAAATACATGCTGACAAGAAGGTGACCTTCTCTGCATCCTCACTGACCAAAGCCAGGACTTGAGCATCGGATAACAAAGGACAGTGTGCTGTCACTGGGTAACTAGCTCTACCCTACTCCCATAACGCTGCTTACACCGACCTGACAATATTTAGATTATCAAATTGTATTTTTAATAGTTTGACTCCATTTACATGAGCCATTAGTTCCTGGAAATGTACTGCCCGGCACTTTGGGATGTTTGTTAGCTACTTTTATTGGGAAGACTATCCTTATATTCTAGAGTTTCTGCAATGTCGACGTGCCTTTCTTTCCTCAGTCCCTATTCTCTTCCACTGCATTGTTCACGAGCAAGGGCATGAAGCTGTGCTCCCCCGGGACTCACGGCTCACTCTAGTAATCCACTCTTCTTTGTGAGACTAAATTTGGAGACGCTTGAGTTACCATTCCCGGAGAGAGCTGGTCCTAAAGCCACATCCTGTTAACTCTCAACTCTCCATGCTAATGCCGGGAGGCATTGATGTTTATCGCAGGAAATGGAATAACCGCTCCATTTGGTGCCAGCTGAGATCAACACAGTTACAAGAAGACTTCGTGCAGTGAGCGGAGCCAGCGTGGTAATGTGTGGGTCTGTGGTGGTTTGGGTTGTAGGACCCTTATCCACCAAGACAAAATAGGCAATTATATTGAAATAGTCCTTTACACTGAAGAGTGTTTTGTAGTTTACAAGCTCCTTACTTCCTGTTGGGCTCTGAGCTTGGTCATAACTCCTAAACACAATTCTTACTCCTGCTGTGTCGGTGGGCAAATGAGAGACTTCCTGCTTACCTGGCAGCCCGTTTAGCCCATATAACACTCACATTTTGGTATCTATGAAAGGTTACTCAGAATTTCAAGTTCTGCTATCATTCTTTCTTAGCTTATATTTTTATCGCCTCCCCCCAACTGTGTCAAGGACCACATTGCTCTGCATCTATTGAAATAAGATACGTGAGAGCACTCTGTCTCAGCCACAAACCTCACAGAAATGTGTGCTGCTGTGGTTATTATTAGACCATTCAACAAACGAAAGGTGACATTCTCTAACCTCCTAGTGGGTGGAGACAGGCTGCCAGCTAGCTAAAAAAGGAACGCTACACTTATTGTTTGGTGTCTGAAACGAGAAAAGGCAGCAATTATGACATTTCCCTACCTCGTTGTCCACGTAGACAATTCTTGTTGACAAGGTCCTTGTAGGTGTCTAAATGTGTCACGGGAAACAAAAATAAGAATTTTTAACCTTCTTCCAAAGGCCTCTGAGCTTTTCTTCCACTCAGTGTGACAATACTGGGTGTTCACATGGCCTATACCTGGACTGATTTTTTTTTGTCCATGCTAAGGCAACCATTGCTTGCAAATACTTACTGTATTCATTTTTTTACAATATTTAAAAACTTCATACAATATTATTTTATTAGTATTTTTTTTTAGGCAAGGTCTCACTATGTAGTGGCTAGCCTGGAATTTACTATGTAGGTCAGGCTGGCCTCAAACTCACAGAGATGCTCTTGCCTTTGCCTCTAGAGTGCTAGGATTAGAGGCATTTGGCACTACATCCAATCTATGTGTAATATTATTCTTATACACATTAATTTATGGCATAAATATTGTATTTATTTATGGAATTATTATTATTCTTATGCACATTATCTTATGCCATAAAAACTACATAGGAAAATACTTTCAATGTATAAAACTTTTTGATAAGACAGCTGAGGCTCATCTTCTACTTGAATTCAATTTTTTTTTCACATCAAAGAGAGCATGCTTTTCATTACTCAAGTCCCTCCATTTCAGGATTGCAGAACATACCAAGGAAGGAAACTGAAATTTTATGTGATAATTGAGAGAAGCTACAAAATCAGACATCTACTTAATAGATTCTGGAAATACACCACAAAAGGGAATCTTTAAGAACCCACACAGCGCCTTGGTTTTTAATATTTATACAATGCTGCCATCTTGTGGGTATTTCCTATAGCCAGCTTTCCAGGACGTGCACAGCTAGATTGCCTAGCCTTATCTGAAGTCAAGCATTAGATGCACAGATACGGCCATTTGCACTTACCGAGAAGAAATGATCCCTGAGGAACTACAGTGTTGAACTCACTTTGGAAGAAAATCATGATGTTTATAGAACAGGGTAGACAAAAAAGACCACGTCAGAGCACAATTAAACACTATGCAGGAGGCTACATACTCCCAAAGAACCCTTCCATCCTCTTAATGCAATGCCGTCCCACCGTGTCATAATCACTGTGAAGCACATTCTGTCTCTCAGGAGACCATGATTGACGGCTATCAAGTCTGTTCGTATTTTGTGACTTATATGAGTGATGGACATAGAGCGCACAGGACCAATTCAAAATCAGAGCTGAGCCAGTTTTCTAGACGCCAAGATCAGTCAGTACTCTACCCATTAGACTACATATATTCATGAATAATAAAAGAATATTGGTGACTAAGAAAATTTAAAACATACTTAGCCCTCTAGGTGGCCACTAAGGAGGGTAGCCATTAGGCATGTGTCTGTCTGTGGCTGTGAGCACCGAGTTTATTTACCAAGTACCACTGTGGACCAGTCACTGTACTGAATGATAAAGCTCTAATTTCCTTGCTTTTAGGAGGTTTCCAGTCTAAATTTAGACTCTACTACAATCTAAATGGAGGCTTTCATTATTTGCTGAGGACATCTTAATCCAAGATATGGTCTGACTAAGAAATGCCATTTTGTCTATGGCTTCAGAATTAGTATAAACTCAATGCATCCCACATAATACTATGAGGTGGTTTTATGATCACTCCATTTTGTAGCATTCTGAAGTTTATATTTTCCTTATACATTACTTCATTTTTTTTGTCAATCAACTCTGTGAAAAACAGATTTAGCAGGGAGTGGTGGTGCACACCTTTAATCCCAGCTCTCAGGAAGCAGAGGCAGGTGGATTTCTGTGAGTTCAAGGCCAGCCTGGTCTAGAGAGCAAGTTCCAGGACAGCCAGAGCTACACAGAGAAACCCAATCTCTTCATCCTTTCTGTATTCAGTTGCTTGCTCAACCCTTAAATGTCCAGAGGATAATTTAAGAATTACTAACTTATACCATGGTGAAGCACGATCCTAATCCTAATTTGTCTTATCAATAAAAACCAGGAGTCAGATATCGGGGTGAAAGCTGAAAGATCAGAGAAGCAGAGCAGAAGCCACTAGAGACTTTTTACCTCTATGAATCCTCTGATCAAAAGGGGGCTGAGATCCTGTCTCCACCTGCCTTATATTCCCGTCTCCACCTCCCCAGTGCTGGGATTAAAGGTGTGAGCCTTCCCAGTGCTGGGATTAAAGGTGTGAGTTACCACCGCCTGGCCTCTAGTGGCTAGCTCTGCCCTCTGATCTCCAGGCAAGCTTTATGTGTCAGAACACAAACAAAATATCACACATTTCCCCCTTTTTGTCTAAACAAAAAGACAAGGTTTTAACTAACATAGAAAAACTATATACAATAAGTACAATAACTATATACAGATATACACAGGCAATAATTACATTAACAATGTCTAATCCATTAGCATTTGACAAATTCAGAGAAAATACTCCATTATTTATCCTATCTTGGTGAGTCCAAAGTGTTGTACCTAATTCACCTTCTATCCTAACTTGCATTCCCAACCCAAAACTATCTTTTGATGTCTCTCAACCTTATACACTTTACACCTCTTTTGTGAGAGTCTTTTCTGAATTTGTTAAAAAAGAAAACTTTAACTATAAAGTCTTAAACTCCATTAGAGACCTGAGAAAGATATAATAGTACCTGAGTAAACAGGAAGTGTAGGTAAGCAACTTCCAAAAATAAGAAATGACAGAAATAGCTGGCTGCCTGGACAGTCACCCAAGGTTCCTCTGCAATGTTGGGGCATCCATCTTCAGCCTGCAGGTCTAGTGTATCTGACAGACTTTATTGTGAAGCAGAATTTTTGAAGAACTGTCCCACTCTGTCTTGGTAAAGTTCAGCAGTCACTTTCTTTTCTGTCCTGCTTGTCCCATTTGGACAGCATACCGTCATCAGTCAAGGCAAGGGTAGTTTCTTGCCAAGTGGATAACTTTTGCCACAAAGAAAGTAAACTCTATATGGAATTTCTTCTATGCCTATCATCTTCTCTGTAGAGTAGATTGGTGTGACCAGGAGCAGACATGTCTAATTGTCATTAAAAAAAGGTTATTAAAACATCTTAAATGCCATATTCTGTAGATCTCTGAAGTGTTTGAAGACCACTTACCTATTTAAAATATATCTCTGTTTGACCTTAAAAACATACCTAACATAACTACAAGTTTGATTGTAATAGATGACTAACTATTAACTTGAATTTCCTTATTATCCTAAATAGTTCATAATAATAACTTTCAAGGACAGGAAATTCACATTACATTGTTAGATGAGCTGTATAGGTACAATGCCTTGAACAAGAGTAGAAACATATGTATAGTATGTTCTAGCCAAAATAACCTTAAATTTGTATCAATATACAAAAATCCATGTCAATGTAAAATATTTAAAACTAGTAGTTGCTTTTTTGGTTTAAAAGTAGATTCAATAATCTACCATTTAGCCTATCATTTCTATAACAAATATACAGTATAACAAAAATAAACCTCAAATTTATATCAATAGACAAAAATTCAAGCTAATGTAAAACATTTAAAACTAATAGTTTCTTTTGAAAAGTAGATTTAGTAATCTACCTTTTTATTCTATTTCTATATTCCCCTTTTCTCTGTAGAATGAGATCCCTGAATCTAATCTTCTTTGTTCAGCTTTTTCCTTACCATTACCAACAACAACTTGTAAACAACCCCCCAAACGATGACAAATATCCATAATTCACTAAACAACCAAAAACTGCACACCCCACCTCTTGGGAATATGGGCACCATGTTCTTAAAATTACTTACTGCTGTCTGGGGACAGCAGCATCTTTAGGGGACCCTGAAAAAAATTGAGATAATTGTCAAGTCCTGGGAAAGCTAGCTGTATCATTTGTTGTCCAGTCTCTGTGTGATGGGAAAGTGCAGGGCTTATCTCAAGTCCTGGCTAGAGTACTCTGTGAGGCTGGATCATCTCAGCCAGCCACCTTGAAATTGTCCTGAGCAGTTTGTAGAAAAACAAACCTACTGATTAGAATTTAGTATTTATTGAAAATGTTTTTTTAAGACCTATTCATTTTATTTGATGTGTGTGAGTATTTGGCCTACATGTATGTATGTCTGTGCATCACAAACATGCCCAGAGGAGGTCAGAAGAGGGCACCAGGTGCCCAGAACTGGAGTTATAGATGGTTGTGAGCCATGATGTGGGTGCTGGGTATAGACAGGGGTCCTCTGAAGAGCAGCCAGTGCTCTTAACCTTTGTGGCCATCTCTCCAGCCCCTCAAATTGAATTCTTTATGTAAAATAAATAAGAATATCCATCTTATCACCATAGAAATTTACTTCTGTCATTAGTAAACGATATGAAGTTTATACTATTAAAATTTATGCCATCTGATTTCTGACTGTGTTCATAGCGTGACTAGCCAGAGTCCTGCTCCTGCGGTCATACCTTCCTCACCACGATGGTGTGTATCCCTTGGAACTATAAGACAGAAAAAAACCTCCCTTCCCTTCTTCTCTTTAACAAATTTATACCAATAAAAGTAAACATAAACTAGGGGCTGGAGAGATGGCTCAGCGGTTAAGCACTGACTGCTCTTCCAGAGGACCTGGGTTCAATTCCCAGCACCCACATGGCAGCTCACAACTGTCTGTAACTCCCCGATCTGACACCCTCACACATACATACATGCAGACAAAACACTGATACATGTAATAAATAAATAAATAAATGAAAAAGTAAATGGAAGCTAAAGAATTGTTTTAAAGTAAATTTATTTATGATTTGTTAACCTACGCATGTTCGGTTTGTGTAACTATTTTGTACATCTATATATTGGGTATTTTAGGAGAAAGGGGTCGAAAATGGAAAAAGTTTGAGACACCCTGCTCAAGATTCAGCCTTTGTGGCACATGCTTTTAATCACTGCACTCTGGAGGCAGAGGCAGGCTGATTTCTACCAGTTTAAGGTCAGCCTGGTCTACTTACACTGAGGACTTCATACTCACTTCAAATCTCCACAATTGTGTGAGCCAAGCTGTGGAAATAAATTTCTCCCTCCCTCCCCACCTCTCTCTGTGCTTGTGTCTGTACTTAACATCTACTGGTTGTTGTCATTTGGAGAACTCTGATTAATACATTGTTTTTACCTTTTCTACTTACTTTGTTTTCTTTTCTTTTTCTTGATTTTCTTTTTGATTATTTATTATGTATACAGTGTTCTGTCTGCATGTATGCCTACCTGCCAGGAGAGGGCGCCAGATCTCATTATAGATGGTTGTGGGCCACCCTATGGTTGCTGGGAATTGAACTCAGGACCTCTGGAAAAGCAGGGAATTGAACTCAGGACCTAGCAGTCAGCAGCCACTGCTCTTATCCTCTGAGCCATCTCTCCAGCCTCTTGTTTTGTTTTCAAGACAGGATTTCTCTGTGTAACAGTCCTGGCTGTCCTGAAACATGGTTTTTAGACCAGGCTGGCCTCGAACTCACAGAGATTGACCTGCCTCTGCCTCCCAAGTGCTGGGATTAAAGGCGTGCACCATTACCTCCCGGCTCTTTACACTTCTTGCAGATCACTGATAAAATGTTTTCTCCTTAGAGATACTCCCCCTAATATTATGCTTGGGCTTGATAATTAGTTTGACAGGATTCCCAGTCACCTAGGAGACACACCTCTAGGTGTGTCTGTGAGAGTATTTCTACAGATGAATAGTTGACAGGGGAAGACCTACTCCCCTTGTGAGTGACACCCTACAAAGAGTGGCCCAGGTATAAAGAAGTCTGAGGAAAGAGCAGTGTGAGCCTGCCTGTCTGTCTTGGTTGCCGCCCTCCTCTGCTAACATCAGAATCCAGCATTGTCAGCCTTCCAAAGTGGGTTGGTTCCAGCACCTCTCTAGAGTACTTTCAGGCTTTCAGCACTGGATAAGGACTTCAGAGACACCTAGCTTTGTGTACAGGAGCAACCCATCATGAAATGGACGTGCTACACACGTGATCAGGCTCAGGTACATCCTGCAGGCAGAAGTGAGTCACACGAAGAAGTGGCCCACATGCTTAT